GAAGTTGTGATATTCTAAAAGATTATGTAAGGGAATAAAAGAGAATCATTTATAATTTTGAATTTATATTATTGCATGTATAAAAAAAATAATAAATCAAAGGCCTAAAATTGACGTCTCAATTTTAAATATGTTCAGAGGGGGTTCTGTTTATACATTGCAGTCTCAAGAAATATGACACAAAACCGTGTCGTGAAAACTGAAAATGTCCAAAGGGGCCTCAAACTTCCAAAGGTGTTTGATTGTATGTTGTTTTACGCCCCATTCGAGAATTTTTCACTCAAATAGAGACGTCACCATATACCGGTGAAGGGCTTAAAATTTTGACCTATACTCGGCACTCAGGGCCATTGAGCAGTGAGGGATCTTTATCGTGCCAACGCCTGCTGTGACACGGGGCCTCGGTTTTTAAGGTCTCATTCGAAGGACCCGCAACTTTCACTTCACAGTGCCGAGCGCATAGCGAAGGAACAGTTGCTACCCATTTTTATCGACTTAGGTCAGTCGCGGCCGAGATTCGAACTCACGACCTCCCGATCACGATAGATAAGATAATTAGCGATAATTAGACGCAGTGATACTCTCCTATTGTTTTTATGCCCCCTTATCGGAGATTAGGGGGTATATAGTTTTTGCCCTGTCCGTTCGTCTGTCTAGCCGTCTGTTTGTCCGCAAAAACTTTAACCTTGCCCATAACTTTTGATTGGTTAGAGCTACGACTTTCATATTTCACATGTGTATATTCCTTGTGACAAGACCCTTTTTGGGGGTACCATCATATTTGACCTTGGAGTTTGACCCACTTTTGCAAAATTTTATGAGACTTTAACCTTGGCCATAACTTTTGAACAGTGATGCTTGGGCTTTCAAACTACACATGTGTATTCCTTGTGACAAGATCCTTTTGGGGGGTACCATCATACTTGACCTTGGAGTTTGACCCACTTTTGCAAAATTTTATGAGACTTTAACCTTGGCCATAACTTTTGAACAGTGGTGCTTGGGCTTTCGAACTACACATGTGTGTTCCTTGTGACAAGACCTTCCTTTAGATACCAACAACTTTGACCCTTTGACCTTGGAGTTTGACCTACTTTTGAAAAACTTTAACCTTGGTCATAACTATAAAATAGTTGGTGCTAGTGCTTTCATACTCCACATGTGTATTTCGTGTGACAAGTTATTCCTTTGGATACCAACAACTTTGACCTTTTGACCTTGACCTAGAAGTTTGACCTACTTTGAAAAACTTTAACCTTGGCCATAACTTTTGAACAGTTGGTGCAAGGGTTTTCATATTTAATACGTCTATTCCTTATGACAAGACCGTCCTTTGGATCCCAAACAATTTGACTCTTTTACCTTGACCTACTTTTGAAAAAGTATAACCTAGGCTATAACTTTTGAACGGTTGGTGCTAAGACTTTCATACTTCACATATGTACATGTAATCCTTTTGACAGGACCTTCCTTTGGATACCAACAACTTTGACCCTTTGACCTTGACCTAGGAGTTTGAAATACTTTTGAAAAACTTTAACCTTGGTCATAACTATAAAATAGTTGGTGCTAGTGCTTTCATACTCCACATGTGTATTTCGTGTGACAAGTTATTCCTTTGGATACCAACAACTTTGACCTTTTGACCTTGACCTAGAAGTTTGACCTACTTTGAAAAACTTTAACCTTGGCCATAACTTTTGAACAGTTGGTGCAAGGGTTTTCATATTTAATACGTCTATTCCTTATGACAAGACCGCCCTTTGGATCCCAAACAATTTGACTCTTTTACCTTGACCTACTTTTGAAAAAGTTTAACCTTGGCTATAACTTTTGAACGGTTGGTGCTAAGACTTTCATACTTCACATATGTACATGTAATCCTTGTGACAGGACCTTCCTTTTGATACCAACAACTTTGACCCTTTGACCTTGACCTAGGAGTTTGAAATACTTTTGAAAAACTTTAACCTTGGCCATAACTTTTGAATGGTTGGTGCTAGGGCTTTCATACTTCACATATATAATTCTTGTGACAAGACGTTCTTTTGAATACTAACAATTTTGACCCTTTCATCTTGACCTTGGAGTTTGACCTAGTTTTGAAAAACTTTAATTTTAGCTATAACTTTTAAGCATTTAATTTGGTGCTAGGATTTTCATACTTCACATGTGCATTCCTTGTGACAAGACTTTCCTTTGGATACCAACAATTTTAGCATTGACCTTGACCTTGGAGTTTGACCTACAATTAAAAAACGTTAACCTTGGCCATAACATGTGAACATTTGGTTCTAGGGCTTTCACATTTCACGAACATGTGTATCACTTGTGACAAGACCTTCCCTTGGGGCCTCATTTGACCTTGACCTTAACGTTTTACTTATTTTTAAAAAACTTAAACCTTGGCCGTAACTTTTGAACAGTTTTCAGGGCTTTCAAATTTCACAGGTATATTCCTCGAGACAAGACCTTTTTTTGGGTACCAATATTTGTGATCTCTCGACCTAAAGTTTGACTTGTATTTGAGAAACTTTAACCTTTGCCATAAGCTGTCATACGGGGGCATCAGTGTTTCACAAACACATCTTGTTTATTTATTTTCATTTATTTGATTTTACATGAAATCTGTTTGAAATCATAGTAATTAGTGGCGAATAAAATTGTAGTAATCATTCATCAGTTTAAGATAATTTTGCAAAATGTTTCAAAAAAGGAGTGTAACCAGGTTATAGACGAAGTGTACGCAGACAAAGGGAATCCCCTTTCCAGCGGATCTAGGGTGAAACCTTAATGTAGTCCCTCTAAATCTACTTGGTTTTACCCATGGCCGTAGGAACCGGGTTTTTTTTTTTTTTTTTTTTTTTTTTTTTTTTTTTTTTTTTTTTTTGCTTGTCAGGGAATTTTGGTAGTTGATAGTGCCTCTTCAACTGAAAATGTATGGTTGTGCCCCCTCAAAGTGAAATTGCTTCTTACGGGCCTGTTACCACTATCTGAATTATTTTCTTAGAAATTTTATGGAATTGAATATTGCTTTTCATTTTCAACCCAAACATAATACCTTCATTGAGATTTGGTACAGTCTACTCTATCCATGTAGCTACTAGTATCATTCAATAATTTGTTTAACATATACGTGTGGATGTTTGTTTGATAGAATTTACAAAATGCTTACTTTGTAAAAGCAGTTCTTATTGCAGCAATTTTACCAATTGTTTTATTATGGAAGAGTATCTAAATTAATGAATTAATCGAGCGAAATATTTATTTAGACAAAAAAATTGGTGACAACAACAGAGCATACATGTACATGTGTATAGCTCTGAAAATTTATCATTATGAAAAACATCAATATCAATATCACTGACAAACTCACTGTATTTAGTATATTGATGGGGAAAGTAAAATTGTAACATTTATTTGAACATGTATATCCCTTTATTCCCAGACTGTATTTATTTATCTATATATAGATATACGAGTGTTCCAAAAAGTCGTAGACAGGGAAAACATCTTCGCTAAATTAACTTTCTTTTCTTGTCGTAGTAAAAGACAACATTCTTTGATCATATATTTCATAAATGTCAAGTTTCATGATGATAACACAATTAATAAGAAAATAATCTAAAAATGAAGAAAGCATATACATGTAAGTGTGCATCGGCGCACGAAAGCAAGCGTAATTTCTCCTCTTAATACGTCATGATAATATTTTTAAGTACTGCCCCGTGTGCTAAACACACGTCTCTTAAGCATCTCATTGATTTTCTAAACTGACAAACTACTATTAAATGAGGGACTCATTAAAATCCACCACTGTACATAGTTTTTCTTTTAAAATCAGAATCAAATTTCAATCCTCGAAAGGTCGCCTTACATTATAGGAAACAAAGAATACATAAAGTTTGACGTCGATCGAGACCCATAACGTTCTTCACCGTCTGAACAAACAGTACTCTACTTCTTATAGGCCTAACTATTTTCGGTACGGAGATGAAAAATGTCTTTGAATCGCTTATGTCATTTATAAACAACTTTTCTACCAACGTTTTAATGTGTTATGTCACTTCTATAACTGTTTTCGTCTCTGAAGTGGACGAACCACGTTTGAAACAATTTTATTACATCCCCGTGCGCCGCTAAAACATTTGACATCATTTGCAGCAAACTCAATTCCAACAACCCTTTGAAAATTACGACACCAATCCTCGGTCTTTGATGCTATTTATGTGAACATTTCACATATAACTACATGTAAGACTTTGTTTCTGGTTTTACTGATATAAATTTGAGTTTTATGTTCTACATATTACCAGAGAAACAAGTTATTACCACATTTTGTTCGTGTGCCGACGGACCAGATCGATCTTCCTATTAATAGTCATAATATTATTACTATGAAAGATATTTTTTAAGAATTCACTATTTTAAGGAACATTGAAAAATTATAGCCATGCTAAATTTGGTGAGTATTGGTTGAATGTTAACAAGTTATAAAATTTGTCTACGACTTTTTGGGACAACCGTCGTATATTTACTTAGTTTTACAAGAAGGACGTACATGTCTGTAGAAACGCCCTTCTCCAGAGATGATTATGAAAAGATCATCAGTATAAAACAGTTATCTTGACATTCCAATCAGAATCCGATAAATCGAAGAGGAAAACTACATAACACCGTTAGAGCCAATTTTTTTATTATTGCAAATAAAAGTAACTTGAAATATTGTTTTGCAAAAATTATCCAACAAAAAAAAACTTTCATATTTTCATCAGTTTAATTTCCATCCACTGAAGGAAGATCGTGCCTGATCAGAACTGTGTATTCTGGAACTGTGAACGGAATGGACGCGAACAAAAACAATATCCCCTTTATTTGCCACGGTCCGTGGACATGCGATACTCCGGTTCCTGGTTACTATCGGATGCAATAGAACCGAAATCTTCAGCATTTTTAACTATTTTGGTGAAAATGCTTCCACCGCCATCACATTCGATTGTCTACGAAAAGACATAGACCCCTGACTTGGGAACGGTGAAGACGCCGCTGAAGGGATTGTAAGCATTGCCGACGTTGGCTTTAACAGTATCAAACAGTACCATTTTGTTGGGTGCAGGTGTGGAATCATGAGCTCCAAGATATGCATAAAACCCTATGGCTTCAGATTCTTCGACTGAGGGGGGTGTGGTTGACCCTGTAAAGGAAAAATGTAAATAATTAATTTTGATATTCATACTTTCGACAGAAATTTAAAAATGCATGCATTTTAAACATTTTTGATAATTTAAATATGCCTTTGCGTTTAGAAAACGGCAAGGATCAGAGAGAGAGAGAGGGAGAGAGAGAGAGAAGGAAAGAGATGGGGGTTTTAATGTTCTTAATATTTTGATGCACTATACATGTATGTGGACATACCCAAAAGTAACCTTCGGGGCCGCTGTTTGTTGCTTTCCAAAGTTTCGATACTTTTGGTTTTATTCTTATGGGACACTGATTGTAGTAAACTGTTCTTGAATCCCCTCTCTTTCACTGGTCCATTCATCACTATTGCACTTTGCGATGAATACTCGCATCATCACGGAATTTATCTGAAAGTTTAAGTGAGTGAGGCGCACAACTTTTCTCTAACTCAAAAATTCGTCTGTCCTGTTTATCTATCTTCTCTTCAAGACGTGCAATTATTCGCTCGTGTTTTTCAATAATTTGCAACAGGAAAGCATTGATTTCTTCACATTCTATTGATTTAAACTGCGCAAAGGTTATCACAAAAAGAACAAGAAAACATTGATGTAACCATCAATTGTCGCCCGGGAAATAAATAAAGTAAACAATGGAAATGAGTCTTGATCATCAAATCGCTTCGATATGTGTGAAAAAGGCATGCGTCTAAATGATGGAGACGATAGTCGAGAATATTTTGAAAACCTATAGTCGGATGAAAATCGAACAAAAACGATAATCTTTTAAACTTTATCAATTCCTCAAGTAAATGTTGGCTGCATAAAATATAAATTGAAACCAGACACATGCATCACCTATTTTCAAAAATGTCTTTCACTTTAAGAATATAAAACACGAACTGTGTAAAGTACGTTTTTACGTTTTTATGCGATAAGTAAAATTCGATGTTCTAAAAAAGGGGACCTGTCGTTTTTTCGATAGTAAATGATAAGCAACTTTATATATTAAATATGAAAAACATATATATTTTTACAGATTCACTTTATGGAAGTAAATATATTGTGTATCTCGTAATTTATAAAGGGAAAGAACATTCTGATTAACAATCTTTTTAATGTTTAGAAAACCTTTAATTCTGAATAACTTCTCCCACCTCAATCCCCATATACCAACACTTAAACTTATATGTATAGAGCAGCCCGGTCCTCCGGGCTGCAATAAGTAAAAATTCCGCTTTAAAACCCATCCTGGTCAAAATATCGCCAATCAGTTGTATTTAACCTAGATTGACCCTCGTGAATGTTGTTATCTAGTATGACATTGTCTCGATTTTAATTCAGAGATTCTTTGTGATAAGACCTCTTGAAATCATTTCATAAATAGAAATATGTACATGTACCTATATTTTAATTTGTCAATACCTTGACATAGTCGCGAATAGAAATGTTTCAGAAAGCATCGACTGTATGCAAGTTGCAAAAATTTAACCAAGGGTGTTGTATGATAGCATAGTGTTACCTAAAATTTCCCGTATCAGAAAAGAAGAAAAAATATATGTCCTTACAAATTAAATTAAAAATGTAGCATGGTATACGTCCTTTTATGTACATGTACATGCACATACATGTACTATATGTAAACAAGATCAGCTTCAATAAATAAGTAAATTCTGCTTTTTAGCTCTTGTTCTTTGTATAAATAGAGCTTTGACATTTTGCATAATTTAACATTGAAATACTAATCTTAAGCCGTAGGGTAAAGTTACTTGTCTAATAGTGCATGCGATGTTTGAAAATACATGCAGTTTGATATGAAGCGTAGCAATACTTATGAATTTTATTAACATACCTCAAATTATAAGCACATAATTAGGCTTATAGTAAATGAAAATCTGAACTTTGAAAATGTAGACCAAATCTGAATGTGCAGCATCAGAATGTTAACTTTTCCAAGCTCCATGACGTTTTTCCTTCCATATGATTCCCATATTTAGAGATATAGTGCTGAAAACAAAGAGTGGTGCAGAACAGGTAAAATATAATAGAATTTGCAAATTTCGAAATAAAATGGTAGTTTTTCTATGGTATTTCATACATATTCTCAGTTATGAATAATTCACACGAGCATATATCTCATCATTCCACCAATAAGTGTTATATTACTGCCTAGGTTCTAATGGATTGGAAGTGAACACACTCTGTGTACATGTTTCTCTGATATATAATTTTTACGACTTGTTTAAATAAAGGAGTTGGGTTAACAAGGCGAGCAGAATTATTCTTTTAACCCTCTTAAGTGTGTGTATACTATTTCATAGGCAAATAATTTCAATCTGTGAGATTTTTGCAAATTGTGGAGATTTTACATTAAGTATTACTTTAATGTTAGATGAAATATCAAAGAAAATTTTGTTATAATTGAGATTTAATTTTTCACATTCATGTTTGTCACACTATAGGCATTTCGCTTGCCTTGTTCGCCCATCTTCTTCTACGAACTAGATGATGCAAATTACGATAAAAACATCTGCTTATTTTGTAGAATCTAAGAAATTTGCTGAACTTTCCGTTTCCCATGATTTAATAGATTAATAGTACTGTTTTGTTTTACAAAAAGTTTTTAGCTTAAGATATTCGACTTAGTATACAGCTGTCCATTTAAAAAAAATTATCGTTTCGACTTCATAACTTGATTCAATAAATTATGACGCTTGCAATTCCTTAAAACTGGAGAAATCCCTTAATATTTGACACTGACAAAAAGAGACAAATTTAATTAAAATTTAGTTCTCTGGGGTTTTTTTTAATAGCATGGCCGTAAACCATGTTTGCACCGGATCGGATTCCAACTTTTTTTCCATTCAAATTTGGTCCTCGGTCGACTGAAAATGGAAATGAATGTTTCGACTACACATTATACAATTTATTGAAAATCTACTCAAGTATAATCGACATCTTTCTATTAACGATGTGGTATATGGTCTGTTATATGGAAATACATATTAATTCAAAATCATTTATCGTACCGCTTGAAATTTACGATTACACATACCTGTGCGAAATATTCTCTCAAAAATGAGTGTCAGTATCAGTGTATATTGCAGAAGGCAAAATCGGTATTAACGATCTGAATGATATCCTGGCCATAACTATATATACATGTACAAATGTATGAAACACTCTAAGAATGCTTGCTGTAGTGCCAGATACATGTACCGAATGAAAAAGAAATAATTATTGTTAAAAAAGTTTTTAAATATTAGTATAGAGTAACAAATTGCAATGATTGTTCCGAACTTTCAATTATGGGGTATGGGCGTCATTCTAGAAAATAATCTCACAAATTGTCTCGATTTTCTGATTTCTAGATACTAATATTTTAGGATTAAAAATTATAGTTTCAATAAATTGGTTAGACTATCTTCTTTTGTTATTTTACATGTATTCTAAATAAATTCACATCCTCATAGTTTTATGCCATGAGATTTGAAATAAAATATAAGAGATAAACAAATTAAATGCAATATTATGAAGTGGAATTCATGTACCAAAACAAATTAAAGCAGAACATTTTATATAATACATGTGTCCAATGCCCTCAGAGGAGACATGTTACCCGAGATCACATGCTTATTACCTGTACATATATACATCTATGTAAATTCTGTCTGACTATTACCTGTGGGATTACGTTTTGAAGGTGGTCGACCATGACTCTCTTTGCATATATAATTTAAGATTTTCAGTTCATTTACCACAAACACTTTTGCACTACAAGGTAAAAGATCAAGTTACCAGTTACCTTTATTTCAATGATTCTCAAGAATCATTATTAATATGGTTAAATTTTGAAAGTTTTGATTTCTTATTCATATCATGTTTTTGTTAGAATAATCTTTTTGTTTTAAATTCTCTTGAAGTATATTTTATTTATTTATTTATTTACTTATTTTTTTTTCTTTTTGCAAAAACAAAATCTATCTTAATCTTTTTTAGATGCGTTCTTTCGTCACACTCGCCGTTCTAGCTCTCGTCTCTGTGGCTGCAGTCCACGCCCAAAATGGTTGGGATTTCGATGATATATATGATGATGATTTATTTGACGACGATCGTTTAATTTACATTGGAGGATACGCTCCCAGCTATGGACCACTCTCTACTGGATACGCCATGGGAGTGGGATCCGGAATGGGTTACGTCATGGGATCCGGAATGGGATACGCTCGTATGGGAAAATCCGGCAAAGCTATGTACATCCCATACGCTGTTCCCACCCCAGTGACTCCCCCCGTTGCCCCTTCTATTCCCTTGGAGCTGGCTCTTGGCAGCACACAGACCCAGAATAACGGAATTTTCGGTGGAAACGGCGCCGGTCTTTTGTGTAAGTTTTTTTTTAAATCCATATCAATGAAAATTACCAGCTTTTAACAACAGAAAACATGTTTTAAATAATAATTATTCTGTTTCTAGTTAATCCCTGTATAAGAATGCGAAGCAAAAAAAAAACTTTTAGTAAGAAAAATAAATTAAATAAATGAAAACATCCTGACACATGCGAATAACTTTAAATATTTAAATTAAAAATGATTCCGAATTCTAGATAATGCGATCGAAAGAAACAATTTTTTTTAGTAAGAAAATTTAAGTAAATGAATGAATACCTTCTGACATGCGAATAACTTTAAAAAATAATCAATTTTCTTTTGTTTTTTTCAGTACTTTTGGTTTTGTTGCCCCTGCTTCTCCAGAACACCGCCACTTCCGGTTAAAGTTCACGAGTTCATCAGCTTACCAAATATATCCTCATTGAAGGTAAATATTAAAGAAAAATATGGCCAGTCAACCTGAAACAATTTAGGATTAAATGATGAAAGTCAAAAGATGAATTCTTACATTCATAAACGATAAAATCAGCTTCATAATTATGCATTTAATTTTATAAAATGTATATTTTTTTCATTCTCGTTTTTCTTTTTGCAGGCGAAGCAAGCCATCCAATGTGCATCTTGTTCTATTTTTATTGTATACAAATTAAGAAATATGGAATAAAAATAGAAATATTCACCGTAAATATATATGATTTTGTTACTTTTTAAAAAATGAATTCATGAGAAAAATCAGCAAATCTGTGAATTGAATAATACATATTACATAGTAAACAGGAAGCTCTTTTTAAAAATAAGCTAGAGCAGGTTGAATTGCTTTAAGGGATACATAATGTTATTACATATTTTAAACCCACCCCTATGCTTGAAAAGCGGGGGTATATAGTGATGGAGGTGTCCGTTCTTCCGCACGTCCGTAATTTTCGGGTTGTCCCATACACAACTCCTTTAGCACTGACACTTTAATAGATTCTTTATTACATAGTATCATTGTGCACTTCCTCTTTTTACTTTTCGATTGGACAGTTATTTTGGGTTTCCCATAGCAAGACATCGGCACTGCCATTCTTTCTATAACATGGTTGTACCTACATATATCCCTTATTAGCAACTCCTTCTATACCACTGAGTAAAATTAAGTAAGAATTTTAAAGAATCTTTATTACATAGTGCAATTGTGCAGCTTCTATTTTATGTTCTGATCGGACAGATATTTTTGGTTTTGCATAGCAAAAAATGAACTTTTTCATTATACTCATATGGGAGGCGGGGGATATCATTTTGTGAGCTCTGTGCTCACAGTACCTCTAGTTGATATTTATTTCTAATTTAAATGAATGTCATCATAGGATTATGAATTTTGTGATAATAAACAAAAGGGATTTTAAAAAAAATCATCTGCATGATCATGTGACAAATATCCATGGTATCAGGGTATTGGAAAATAAATAAATGAAAAATAAAGTTATACAAGTGAAATCCTGTTACTGAGATACATCGCAATGTAAAATCTACCAGTTTCATCAATAAATTCATAGACAGCAGCAAAACTTAAGATATTGTTATTTTTGTACAGGCAAATTCACATCACCTTATAATTGTTCGATCGAATTCATATTTTATGAATAAAAGAGTGATTAATTTATTCATCAGACAAAAAACATGTGGATTAAAAGATTGTTTCTAGAACTTGGATAATTTCTACACTCAAAATATAATACTTTTAAAAAATCAATACACGGTCAACTGGAGATATCGTTCTTTTGTAACACTTATTTTAAAACAACTCGGAATTCCTTAATCTTTTTAATTGTCAATGGATATGAGGCTTGCCGAATGTCTGTTGACAATTAAAAATTTAACCAACGTCAGTAAGCACACATTATGAAAGTTTTTCTCCCTTTACAAAATTTCTTCAAAACTGTCTGTATGTTCACTCACAAAACAATATTACGTATATAATGCGACGTCATAATAGGCACTGTACGGGAGTGATGAAACATATAGGCCTAAGGAGGAGAAGCAATTGTACAAACCATAGACACCTGAATATATTTTAGGAATGACTCTAATTCTTGGTCAAATTATTCGAGTATAACCTGGTTTGGGTCAGTTTACGCTTTATAATCCGCGAAGCGGATTATAAAACAGCGTAAGCTGACCCAAACCAGGTTATACACGAATGATTTGGCCAAGAACTAGAGTCATTCCTTATAATATAATTTTAAATTCATTAAATAATTATGGGTGTAAAATTTCGTTGCTTTTTATTAGTTCAAATTTGCCGCTCAATAATACAATCGTAGTAACGGTAGTGATGGGAAGCGAGGGGATGTAAAAACTGATACATGGGGCTCCTTGTTGTTTGTTTACATGTGGTAAGATCGAATTATTGTTTGGAGTTAAAGGTTTAAATCTGGAATTTTCCATGAATCCCGAGGACTGGAAATGAGAGGATTGTATGAATACAGATGATTCAGCTGGTTGTCAAGGGGGGGTGTCCCCATACCAAACCAGGTTATACAGAAATAATTTGTGTTCCTTTTTGGATATTAACCAATCAGAGGCTAGAATACAAACAAAATTAAATTATATGATTATGTCATCGGTGGGGTACGGTACATTGAATCTAGTTTTGAAATGACCGGATACGGCTTCGCCTCGAGAGGTATAAAATTTACTAACCATGTATGATCCCGTACTGAGCACTACAAAACTATGTAACTAATAATTATAGATCTTCGAATTAAAACAAAGAACTATGATTGGCTATCATACTATAGGCCAGTTAAGTAAACAGTTATGTCTTATGCACATCAGGCTCCAAGACCACTGATAAACTGAGAACAGACTTTAGTCACTTAAAGCTGAACACGCTTCGTAAAAGGAATCCGTCCGCCATATTCGATTGGTTTCTCGCTATATATCTGAGGGCCCTATATAAAGCCGCTCACTTAGTCGCTGTTCAGTGTAATCAGTCGTCATTGGTGTAGACAGACGTATGCTACACAGCACTTGGTGTCGAAAAAAAAATAACTGTGTACTTCTTCTAATACAGAAGAGTAAGATATACCAAACAACTTACAGCAGTTGCACAGGTCAGTGCAGTATACAAACAAACACAAATACACGTATAACTGCACTAAAATGTAAACATGGGTAATATAAGATAACCAGCACGAACACGTGTCGCCATTCCACGCCGAAGCCCTTGACAATAAAGCAGCCAGATGTAACGAATGCGAAGGCTATACCCCGGTGCTGATATCGTAGCTATATAGTAATTATCGAAAATGGCATATGCCTATTTACGAGTCATGTTCAGCTTTAAGTCAAAATTTCAAACCAATATAACTTTCTGAAATAATTTTGATAATCAAACAAAATTTTCATCATGACGTTTGTTTGAATTTAAATGTCATAAAAATTGCAAATTTTTTAACCAAATACAGTAAATAAAACTCAAGATACATGTATTAAAAATCAAAATTTGGATTAAGCCTGTTCTCAGTTTATGGTCTTGGGGCGAGAAGTCAAATTTCTCAAACCCTTACAAGAATCTATACCCATGACAATTGCCATCTTGGATTTCAAAGGGGGAGGGTCGGTTCACACTTGATTTTAATCAATATCTACACTTTTCCTACCGATGTCGGGTGAGCTAGCTTCAAAAATAGTTGATAAACGCCCTTCAATCGTCTGCCGATTTGAACTTGCCGTATAAAACATGCAGTAAACCAAACCGTGCTCGGTATCTAGCACTGAAACTGAAAGCAACGGAAGTGCCAATTTCTAACTATGTTAAATGTAGAGGCGTCTCGGAATTACAAGGAAAAGACTTTCCGTGTAATTCCTGGTTGCCTCTACATTTTACACATTCGTCATAAGACGTCGAACGCTGGCAAATTGTTTTTTTGTTTTGTTTTTTGGCTTATCTCACTTCTGCATTTAATAAATTCCAGTTTCACGGTGTCTTGTACGAAAGACTTTCAGTAATTCTAATCTACACGTTTGGGCACTTAACTGTTATTCATTAAGGGTATATTAATATATTTTCACGCTTGCTTGGGACAGTGTATCTCAAATATTCAAGAACGCCCTCATAATTGGGTTTTGATGCCCTGTTCGAAGAAGGGAGGGCGTACATATATGTCTTTGCTGCTGTCTGTTGGTCGGTCGGTCGGTCGGTCTGTCTGTCTGTCGGTCCACCAACAGTTTCTGTTCATTTTCTTCGCAGAGGTTGCACATGCTGTAATGAAATTTGGTAAACATGCAGAGTTATCATAAGAATATCTAGGTCAAGTTATGCCCCTTGGACTTAGAACAATTCCAATAATATTTGCTTTCCGTTCATAACCTCTGCAAAGGTTGAACAAATTTTAAAATTACTGAAATATCATGAGAAACTTGTTTTTGCCAAAGATGTGATGAAGAAGACTATTTCTGGTTGATGCATCTCAAATAGTACCGATAGATTTTAAGTCCAAGAGGTCAAATTCATTTCCATTTGCACTTCCCATAATAAAGGCTTGTGACCCTATAATTTATGTCCAGAGGGGGGGGGGGGGGAGGGGCATAAGTGTTTCACAAACATCTCTCTCTCTCTCTCTCTTTTTTTTTTTTTTTTTTTTTTTTTTTTTTGCAAAATATACCTATTAACATGCAAAAAAGGAGTGGAATGCAAGTATTTTTGTTCATCATTCAATAAAAGCAGAAACCAAATTATATAACACACGTGTTCTATGCCCTGAGAGGACACGGTTACAGTACTGCACGAGACTTAGTACTACACGTCGTGTTTAATACTAGTACATGCCAACTGATATATTTTGAGATATCTCTGTCAGGCTTTGCATGTAAAGTTACATTTCAAAACATTCAATCATTAGAATATTTTTCTATATAAGGCTGTATATATACGTTTCACCATAAACATATCTGCTCATCAGAATAATAGACAGAAACCTTATATTTAAGAAGCATGTACGTCTTCGTTGTACTTACTGTTTTTTGTTTGTTTGGTTGGTTGTTTTTTTTTTTTTTTTTTTTTTTTTTTTTTTTTTTTTTTTTTTTTTTTTTACTTAATTTTACTTATAAAAATTCTCTTATTATTTTTTAAAATTGAATTTATACGAAAAAAGGCTTGTTGGAAAAAAAAAACAAAATTGCAAATAAACATAATATTTTTATTGAAAAGTATTTTGTTAATGATTACATGTACATGTATCAGTTAAACTTTAGGATATCTTATATTTGAAGATGTGTAATTTTGTTTATAGGAAAAGTACCAAGTATTGATGAACAGAAATTTGAGTGTCTTTCTTTAATTTTGAGAAGCATGCATGTTAAGTAAATGTAAATATATTGGATTGATAAAATGATTGGTTACAATTAAAATCATGAATTGTGCTTTACAAGAAGATTTCAATTTATTTTATTTTAAATGCTAAGGCAAATTAATTCTATTTAAAATACTTCAGAATTAAAACTTATTATACATGTTTATAGAAGATCCTTACATAAATCATTTCGAATTGAAAATTTAAAATTCATTATATTAATATATAAATTATTATATGTATAACTTTATAGTTTTAATTGTAACTAAATTATTTAAGTTATTACATTACATGTGCAAGAAAATTATCGAACTCCTATCCAAAGCTTTTGTATATATAATACAATTAAATATGTTCAAAACAAAATAATATTAACCAATATTTAATACAAAATGGGGGATAGAACACACACATACACAGGACTTTAATCAAATAAAACATGCCTTTATTTGCTTATCAATTATTACCAGTGGAATCCTCCAAATTGAAAACTATTTTAAATGTTATATGTTATAGTATTTTTTTAATGAAAATTCTATATTGTACATGTAATTATATTCTATTTTACTGACAATAAACATTAGACGTATGAACAGGGTTAGAGGTGATATTTACAATTTTAGCACATTTATTACTTTTATTCAAATTTTACAAACTCTACTTGTCCTTGCAGATAAACATTCTTATCTTCTATGGAGATATCTGCTTGACTACATGTTTTTACAATGAAGATGAAAGTCAGCTTCAGGGCTCCAGTTAGATCTAATTGAAAATACATGTATAAACTTCAAGTTTTGTACCTTTTTTATTTAAACGAATGAATAAGTTATATGTGCTTAAAATTGCAGAGTTTTATCTTTAACTTATAATACTTTACACAATTTCGCATGTCGGGGAGTAATCATTTTTTTTTATTTTACAGCTTTTTGACCGCTATTACTTCCTCTTGAGCATATTCCTGTTTCGTAATACTAACGAGGTAGGTCCCACATTAACAGGTAACAGTGTTGTCGTTGTGCGCCAAATCATAACCCGTCTGTGAAGGTGTCGGATATCAGGGTATATATAAAAACAGTCAACTTTACTAACATTTCACAGATCATTCGATTGCAAGGTAAATATGTCGTGAATTTCTCCGACAAAATAAATTTAATTTTTAAAAAAAGAGTTGCGCGGAACTCTTGACTATTCTCTAATGTATTATATCGTTCCCTGTATTATATTCGTTTTTATTGATTTATGATTTTCGTTTCCAGATGCGTTCCTCAGCTGTCTCTCTCGCTGCCCTTTTGGTTCTAGGTGTCGCACTTGTCCGCGCCGAATACGGATATTCCAGTGGCGGATCATACGATCAATCAGGATACTCAAGCGGATACACAAGTGGATACGACCAGACTGGATACGCTGCCGGATATTCCGGAGGAATTGGTGGATATGACAGTGGATATGGATACAGCACAGGACTGGGTGGATACAGCACAGGAATGAGTGGATACGGCACAGGAATGAGTGGATACGGACACAAATTATCTGGATACGGATCAAGCGGACATGGATACGGTCACAAGAGATCCAAGACCGCTGTGTACGTCCCATATGCAGTTCCCACCCCAGTGGCCGCCCCTGTCCAGCCCGCTCCTCTTCCAATTGGCTTGGGCATTGCAGCCGATAATCAGGACGAGGGCGTTTTCGGAGGAAACGGTGCTCTTCTTGGTAAGAAATTCTTCTGTGACTAAATTGAAAAATTCAGGATTGAGAATACATGCATTCATAAGTTTGAGTGTTTATAAAAATAAATTTCATGAAAATATTTTTTTATAGAGATGATATACACGGATATAAAATTTACTTCTTGGATTACTTGAATGAAGAGATCCATTCTATGATATGAAAAAATATCTACGGGCACCCATAATAATCTGCTATGATAATCTGCTAGCCAGTTCCTCATCTTTAATTATTTTTCATTCTCTACGTTTCAGCTCTGTTAGCTCTCACTCCATTCCTTCTGAACGGTAACCTAAACCTCTCAGGTTAAACCGTTAATGGCGGTTACTTCCCCTGCCAAATTCAACACAAGGTATTTTATTGTTTTAAATGCATCAATATTCATGTGAATATACCTTTGTTAAACGTTGCGTGGTGTTTTTATTCCAAAAATAGAAATATTGCGTAACAACTACATATAGCTTTATACAAACCTTTTCTTTCTATTTTTCAGATATTTTTGTGGCAGCTCGGGATTGACAGCGGGAACTATTTTCACTATTCATTTATTTTACATGTTACAATAAACATATCGTTACACTAAATAGCTTTTTTTTTAATCTCTAAAAGAAAATCCATTTGCTGTACAATCAAGCCTCTTTCATCCGGACATAAGTGTTCCCGAGCAAATACTGAAATGTACTTTTAACAAGAGGTACATGTAAAATCTGTGAACCACAAATTTCTTTCGTCATTTGAAGGTAGAAGCGTCCAGCTGGCCTCCTGATCATCGAGGCTCGACTATATTATAGAAATAATGATACAGAACAGTTCAATATAATGAAGACATTCTGTACGTTTGCACTGACGCGTTAAAATCTCCGTAAATTATGTTGATTTCTTGATCATAAGTTGTGAAATAAAAAATCTTTGCACTATCCCCAAATAAATTAAGATAATGCAGTTGACTAAATACAGGTAAATGAATACACCATGTATATTTCTTCTGAGACACGATAAAACAGTTACAATTTAGGGATACATTTGTCCCAAAATATTAGAACTGAAAATGGCACAATTGGATGAATTAAACTATTTTCATCCCTTTCATGTACATATACTTAAAAGGTCGTGATATGTTGTCAAAATTTAGCATAGTTTATAAAATAAGTCGTTTTCATATACATGTACTACATTCAGGAAGAGTCATACTCGAGTTAATTTCTGAGAGTATTTTAACCAACTTTAAATATTGTTTAACTATAAACTCACATTAAACATTTTTATAGGGAAAAAGTCATTGTCAAGATATTGTTTTGTTTTGTTTTTTAAAAACAGTGTCACTTAAAGTTGGGAGGTACAGTCTGACCCTGTTGTGGCAAAATCAGCTTCATATAAATTAATATTATACAATTATTGCTGTTTTTGACGTCAGTACGATGATTTATAGCCACCTGAGGAGAGCCCGAAGGGCGAGGTGAATATTGTACTTCGAAGGTGGCTAAATCATCGTATTGACTGGAAAAAAAAAACAGAAATAATTGTTTTATTAATATTATATGATTTAATAATTAAATGATACAATTAAGCTCATTAAAAAGTTCATGTCATCTTACTTATTTACATTTGCTGAAGTCCTACTCAAATGCAGTGAGAGAAGCAGGGTTAAATATAAACATATCCAGTCGTATTAATTTGGATTTTTTAAAATCTACTTTAGTTGCTATAAAAAAAAATAATAATGTCAGGCTCTTTCATAGAATCTATTTTGAAGGGGGCATTATTAGGGAAAACTGACAGCTGGAAAAAAAATGATTTTGAGAACTCTCTTAAGTTCAAATTTTGTTTTGGGATTGAGTTAGGGGTGGGGAATTAAGGTCTATGAGTGGGGGACCAGCCTTTCAATGAATATTTTATTTCTAAATTAAAGGTAAAAAATTACGTTGAGAAAAAGTGTTTTGGAGGGTCCCCTGCACCTACCCCCCATCCACCCACACCCCAAATATACTTACCCTAATGTTATTTCACCTGAGTGGAAGTCGGTTGCAAGTGAAATAGCTTTCCAAAACTATTTGTATCAAATTAGAATTTTCCGATCTATTTTTAGACCAATATAGAGAAAATAAATCCTTATATTCACCTGGAAGGTTCACGCGCAGGTCAATTTTCTATGTTGTTGGATCTCAGCCAATCAGAGTCATGGGAATTATTCAATCATATAATAATGTTAAATATAAAACAGAGGGGAAAAAAGTTAAAGAATTATATATCAATTTTTTGACTTATATGATATTCATATATTGTAAATCTTTGTCCAGTTTGTTTGTGATGTTCATGCACGTGTGAAAACTTAGAATGTTACAAATAAAATCAACAGTAAAAAAACAGACATTAAAGTCTGTAGGTGTGAGACCCTCACCCCCACCCCCTACACAAACCATTACCAAATCAGGGCAATCTATCAAAGTATTATACACGTCTCATTTTTATGTAGACAATGAATGCCTGGCAATGTACTTGTATGCAAGATATCCACAAAACGAAACAGGACGAAGTCTTTCATGCACCAGAATGCTTTATTTTTTATGACGATACACATTAGTAAGTACATGGTCATCGTTAGGAAGTATACAACACAGAAGGGAGAGAAATGTGGTCTTTGTTCTCTCGGGGAGGTTCTTCCTGGGGGAGTGGTCGATAATTCGTGTCAGCATATCCTGTTCCATTAATTCCTCGGTCATGGACATATCCTGATTGTATTCTGAAAGTTCGTTAAAACATGCACCTTTTGTCATGTTTGTACCAGATTTTGAATGAGATGGAAGTACGGAATCCACTGAGAGTTCCATCGGATCTAGATAAATTTCTCTGTCTGCAGAAAGAGACTGATTAAACTCGTTTTCAGGGGATATGTCTGGAATATTATTTTCTTTCTTGGGGATGTTGGGGAGGAATTGCTGGTCAATAGATCTTGGCAGTGTAGGGTTTCCATGTGATTTTTCACTACTGGATGAAAACGCCACCGTTTCAGTTTTTAAACGGAAATATGGCTGTTCTTCGGGTGGAGGTGTGTTTTCTTTAGCAGTCACCTATTTAAAAAAAAAGAAATATAAATTTTGAAAAATCTTTAAAACAATGGCCGATGCCCAAGTATAATTCTCATAAAGTGACATACATTACTGTGTACAGAGTACACATACAAATTACAAAATGGAATAAGTATTATAATTTAGTTAATAATATGCATGCGTGAAAAAAGTACAAAATTTAGATCATGAGATATCTTAGGTCTAAATTTCGGACGGGTTTCATGTCATGAACAATAAAAATAACTTTAAAGTACATGTATACATGTCACTAATTAATGATTGAATACTTTATCAAGCTAATGCATGCAGAATACAACTACATTTGCAATTGGATTTAAACATGTGAAATGGACTTTGATATAAAGAGGAGGGATAAAGAGGATATTTGTCTTTTGCATTTTCATTTTTTTTTCTTTATTATTATCCAGTGTTTTTGCTTGTTCCAGATTTATTTATTTGTTATTATTAATATTATTTTCTTTGCTTTTTTTTCTCTTTTTTTAATTTCCTTGCATATTTGTCTTTTGCACTTCATTTGTTTACTTATTCTTTGCACTCTTTTATTTTTTCATTATATTGTATAGTGAGTATACATGCTAAGTGATAACTCTTGTGAATTTATTAATCTATCTCTCTTTTTTTTTCCCATTTCTGGTAAAAAAAAAAAAAAAAAAAGAAGAAATTAATGTAACTTATTATGAATTATTTCATCATGATTGTAAGTCATTGTCAATTCTTAACATTTGTAACCTTGACCTTCTTGGAGAGGACTTACATAGGCCATGCCTGATGTCCAATCCAATTATGTAAACTGACTTTACATAATAAAATACTGATTAAATTAAATTAAATTAAATTAAATAAAGAGGAGGGAGAAATATTTCTATATCGTTTAACATGTTTAAGATCAGCAAGACGTAAAATTTTATACTCACCTGATAGTTCTGCCAAAACTTTTCTGTATCCTCTTTCTGACTGTTCTGTAGTCGCCGTCTCTTTGAAGGACTTTCCCTGTAATTCCGTTTTCCGGGTGCATATCTTGGTAAAACCTCCTTCATATCTACTAGGCCGTTATTGAACTTCCGCACACACACTGAATCAGGTATTTTATTATTCCCATGGAGTGATCTGCCTTAATTAGTGACACCAACGATGATTGGATGGCTAGACTTGACACTGAGCACTGAGTTGATTAAGGCGAGTAAACTATGTTTTCATTAACACCAACAGGGGTTCTGATCTTGGGCTAATTACGTGAAAGAGCAATTAAGCAATTATGATTACGTATGTATTTATGATAATGTCAGATGAATAGACATACATTAAGTTATTATTTCAAGTATACGAGGTTTGTCCCAAAATTCCGTAGACAAGCGTCCTTTTATAGTAACCCAGTGTCATAAATAAATGAAACTTTAAAAATAAATAAAACTGCCAACAACTAATATTTCTAGTGTAAAACATTGCGAAATAACACATATTTATTTTATTTAAATGAAACAATTCGATGTCTGATGTAAAGAGGCGACGCAGTCCCAAAATTTGCTATTGAAAATCAGTAAATGAAATTTAAAATTTTCACAAAAAAGTAATTTCTAGTCAAAATTTCGTAGGGTAAAAATGATAGTTTCTCAAATGAAATAAAGAGGTACCTTTATTCCAATTTAATCGCATATGCCCTCATTAATAAGAATTTTTTAACGTTTATTTGCACTGGTTTGACGCCTGACTTTAAAAAAATGACACTGCATTGACATAGGCGGCGCACTGGGACTTGATAAAATGTAGTTCGGAACTTGAATTCACTCGAACAGATACGCATTCGAAGACAAAAAATGTAAGGAACACAGAGATATATTCAAGTTCTTTGTGTTTGAATGACATACGCAGTTTTTCAATGTATATGTGAAAAAGAAGCAAGAAATTAAGGAGACAAGCCAAGAAATCGTCGTCAAAGCGACACATTCAACGCCATTCGGAAAGACAGACAACAAAATCCCACAGAGATACTGGAGAATTTTATGAATTATTTAAGGATGCATGTGTTTAAAACATTTTCTGTTGTATATTTTTTATGTTTAGTTAGCGTAACAATTATGATTTTTCATATCTCACTTAAATCTTTATGGTAAAGTAGAAAATGTTATTCTGATGATAAGTGCATTTAACCAGAAAATCCGTACCGGTGACGTTTACGTATTTTTTGACGTCGGAGATTGCGCCGGGTCGTAGGACACGGTAACATTAAAATTCTTATTGCTCGTACTTTTTTCAAGTAGTCTTGTTAAAACTTCGTAATTGATCAGCTAAAAACACACTTTATACACCCCAAAAATTGTATAAAGATACGTTGATTTCTGCAATAGATATGAGCTCAGTCTTCGGAATTTTGGGACAACCCTCGTATATCTAAAATATAGTATCTTTGTGAACATATACATGAAGAATTGTAACGCAATGAGACACTAATTTATTCAGTATACTTTCATAATTAATGAATGCATATTTTCTGTTCCTCTGTGTATTAAAAGATAAAGATACTAATTATCAAGACAATACAAGCTGAGAAGATCGCAAAAAGACGCCCATATGTTTCTGTCTCTTATTACTCGGACAGTGTACAGAATGCGCTAACCAAATGCGGTAAGGAAGCATCCATAGTGGGCTAGAAATGGATAATGTTTTATCCTATCCTTTATGGAAGGACGTTGATATTCTTAGCTATAGTTAACACTCGGAACTCTGGTGGACTTAAAAAGAGGTGAAACTGAGTCCTCTTTCATCAAGTGATGTCTGTTCTGCGCTGTTCAGTAAAATTCATGTGCGCTTTAAGACTAGACAACCTTTTACCATCTTTGCTAGGAGAGGTCTTATCAACGTTTGTTGCCATACAGGCCCGTAGGAAGAAATATCAGTTGGGGAGGGGGGGGGGATTTCCTTGACAAGCAAAAAATAATAAAAAAATAAAATAAATAAAAATAAAAATCTCTTCAGACGTTTTTATTGAGGGGGCACAAGCATATAGTTGCTATTCTATAGTAATCTATATATCGGCAAAATTAATTATTGGGGGGGGGGGGGGCTCCCCGGGTCCTACGGCCATGCCATAAGAAGAAAATAAGAAGAAAAAAAACCTTGATTACCTATATTGCTTTGTTTAGATTGATCCATTGTTTGTTTATTATTTTGTTCTATTATGAGATAAACTAAAATTTAAAAAAACAAACAAACAAACAAACAAAAAACAATATAAAAATATTATAGTAAAAGTTTTTAAAAATTTAACCCGCATGCGGTTACATTGACAAATATAGCGACTGTCAAATGCATAATGTGACAATGATTTAACGACACGTTTTCGATTTTTAAGGTACACCTATCTCACCCCTTTACCTTTTTATATTCAAAGCCTCATGAAAGCTGCTTAATAACAAAATTGTACGCTGGAAAACCTAAAGAAAGTGAGGTTTATATATTTTTTCTACATCAACTGATATCATGCGTGGATCCAGCTTGGGGGGGGGGGGTCCGGATCCACTCCACATTTTTCTTTTTAGATATTTCTAGATTGTATAGTAAGGAAAGGGAAAAAATGACGTTGGAGCCATACAACTCCCTCCTACCCCCTAAAAATAACGAAGCCTCGATAATTGTATCCATTCAACCTTTAAAAAAAAAAGAACAAACAGAAAACAAAAACAAAACAAAACAAAAAAAATTGATAAAAATATCATAAACTAATATGTATAATTTTAAAAATCAATGCCATTTTTTTATTTCTGGTCTCGTATTATGTACATGTATTTGTTTGCATCTGGGAGTATTTTTTTTTCTTTAAAAAATATATTAAATATTTAGAATCTTCTTAGTTAAGAATATATCAAAATTAAAACCTATGCCTGAATGAAGTTAAATGCAACACGTAACAGTAACTATTATACATGTGTGACAGACATGTTTTTATATATTATGCACATGTGCATAGCAATGCATATTGCATGTGCATTTATTCATTGATCTAATTATGTATATATTTTTATTTGCAGCACACTACTACAGCTGAATCATACAATTATTCATTTAATCTGTAGTTAAGTGTATTGGCTTTTAAATTGTTCTTTTCCTGAGAGGTCCAGAGTTAGCCTCAGGGCTGTAATTATATTCTGGCCATGGTCATTTTGTATCTTTCAATTTCATTGGGTTTTTTTTAGTGTGTCATGCTTTTGGATTGGGTTTTGTTTTTCCCTCCCAGTTTTCTTTGTGTTTTTTGGTCAATTCTGATTTAGCAGTGGAAAGTAATGGTCATGTCTTGGTGACTCAGTTTTTCATATACCATAAGACCGTTTGACATTGAGACTTGTATTTCCACTTGCATGATAAGTAATTCTTTCATACTAATGTTAATATATTATTCTAATTTTATTAAATGTGAAATCTGTAATTTTGCACTTAATTCCTTAAGTCACTTTTCCTGGAGTAAATGAATAGTGAGAGTGAGACTGTGGATATAAAGTTATGTGTAAATAGTAAATTCATGGATGTCTCACTTGTTCATATTTTTAAAGTAAACTTTATTTTATGCTTTATGTAGATATCTACAAAGTTGTTCATTGTTAATTTGTAGATATTGATCTGTCTGTCTAGTGTATACAGCTTATATATGTGCTGCAGTTTGACCCATTCCCATTGAATGGTATGAATGATATTGTTTTTATGAGCAACAATAATTAATAATGTACATATACATTGTCAGGATAATTATTGTAAAGTTTTTATGATAAATATATATTAATTAAAGAAATGGGAGATTTGATTGTGTACATATCATATAATTGGATTATCTCCCTTTGATTCTGATGGAGCTATATTGATTGTATATTGATCAATAATTCTATAGTTTTTATGCTGAATACTTATACATGTAATTTGTTATTTCATTACAGGGTTTCTTAACTTTTCCATCATTATTAATTGATCCATAATAAAGAGATCCGTCTTGTTCAAACTCGATCCAACAGCCTTGTTGTTTATTTTATCATCACCACACAACACAAGTCTGTTACACATGTATAATTGTTGCTTAATTTTTACCCCGCTTTATCAAAAAAATCCAGAACTTGATGTTTTGATATTGCTGCATTTTTTTGAAAAATTTTGCCAAATATGCTTAACACTCACTAGGAGTTTATGAATAGTAAAATTCGCAAAATTATTTATTCTTCCTAAAAAAAAAAAAAAACCCACCAGTTTCCTTCTTCTATAATTAAGTAATGCGAGTGATCAAAACCAAAAATGATCACCATCACTACATATAATTATGTGTAAATGAAATAAACCTCAAAGGAAAAGAGAAACAAGTTGTAAATGCAATATGAAATATTTAATCAACATGAAGGGACAGCAAGTTTAAAACATCTCATAGACTTTATTATTGTATTTCTGTGTTGTGTCCATGCATTAGAACTGGGTTCAGGAAGCACTGCCTAGCACAGATCATGTAGATGGATTGAATTTTACCGATTCATGATCCGTTTCATTTGCGTACGATCATGGGGCGCAATTCACCGTCTTTAACTATGTCGGCCAGGAAACTTTGGGGTTGGCTAGAGTCTCGGCTTAAGAAGGCTTTTTTCTTCTTCCCGAGAATGTTTTCTTTGAACAAATCCCAACTTAGATACCAGTATTTTCAAAATAATTAGGCTAAAGCATATCTAATTTTTGCGGCATGTGCGACCGCCAACACCCTGGAAATGTATCTATAGATGTCCTGAAATCATGATAAAAATTTGGTAGCAATATTTTCTCTCAAAAATTTATGTTCATTGTTTAAATGTTGATGTGACTGTCAATGGAAATAGGATTGTGGTGCATGGATGTATTCTGGGATGCGTTGTTACATTGGTTTTTGTAGTCCCTGTTATTAGTAAATCGGCCGCCTCCGTACATTTCCTCTGGAGCAAATCGACTTTGATGTATATTTGGCATCACACCCCCGGCCGCGGATGGATATTCCAGATTTACGTATTGATCTGGATTGATGTAACCACAGGATAAATCTGGTGCATTCATATATCCATTGTCTTGAAAGGAATTCATATATTCGGGGATCTCTGGAGCCATACCTCCACTGTATGGATCTGCATACTCCATGAATTGTTCCGGGTTTGCATAATTAGTGTATGGCCACGGATCACCTGCCAAACAAGGCTCTTGTGCTGAGGTCATAAGGCTGACGTATTGCTCAGTAGTTAACTCAATGAATGACGTTGGCTTTTTTATCTTAACTATTCTTCTTAGCATTGTGGGATCTAACGGATATAATGGAGGATGGGGAATATGCACTTGAGGAAACATGTTGATAATTTGTTCATTAAGCTTCTCCGTCTCCAAACGTGCTTCTTTTGGAGGAGGTTTCGCCATTTTCTTCTTAGCTTTCTTCTGTTTCTTTTCAGCTTTGTCAATCTTCTTCCTAATATTCTCCACATCAAGGCAAGCAAGGGGGGTTCTCAACTTTTTGGCTGTTGGCTCAGATAATCTCTCTACTTCTATGCATGAGGCAAGTCTGGTTGCGTTGTTGCATGAAGATGGCGGTTCAGATTCTCCTAAATGAGGCAAGACCTCATACTTTTTGCCCAAAGCTTTGGACGGAAGTTTTTTCATCGGAATGCTAGGGATCTTTTCCCTTTGCTGTATGATATTTGTTGATGGTATGTCCGGAATAATGCTAAACATGTTGTTATGAATAAACATGGGCTGCTTATTCTTTTCTCTCCGTCCCATCTGGAAGATAATATGTTAATACAAATATATACGCATGTAATATAATTTATTATTGTAATGTAAGATATTTTACCAAGGGAGAAATTTAAATGTAAAATCACTACAAATTGAACTCTTAGTCTTTGCTCACACTCTTTTCAAAACTTTTCAAAATATTTTTTCCCCTCAAAACCCAAGCGTTTTTGTATGCATAGCTATGTTTTCCTAGAAACAGTAGCTTACCTTTGATAATTTCCAGAATTTGCTTTGGAAAAATGTCAAACTACTTTTAAATGGATGTGAACTTGCGTGAAAAGCGAGATAGTGAAAGCAAACTCCGGTTGTGAAGTCGCAGAGTAATTGTGACGTCACTTAATTGTTACGTCATAGAGCTCTCTGATTAAGATCCAAAAAAAAGAGCCATTAAAGAAAAAAAAAGATTATTCGTTCCGAATTATAAAAAAAAAGTATACGCACGGAAATAATTTAGATTTTAAATGAAAAAAAAAATAATGCAAATACAATTAATTTAATTTCATCTGTACATGTAGAATTATGTAATTTAAATGCACAATCTTCATTTACATGTATGAAGTATAATATTTTGCTTCTTTTAAAAATATTAAAGATAAGCAAGAAGTAAATCAGATAGCTGATGAAATTTTATTGGATGTTAATAAAGAATTATTCATTAATTTAGAGCATTAATGAATAATTTTTTAAAAAGCATGAGAAAAATAAGGGGAAACTGAAGAAATAGGTAAAATGGCGATAGGTAGCCCAGAAGTCCATGGGTGATAAATATTGGATTTTTTATGCATCTTTATATAAGTATACCTATGAAAATCATCTCTTTACATCAACAAAGCAAGTAGAATTTTTCTCAACCCAAACACCCATTATTTTAATTAGAATCCATCGAGTGGAACAGTAAATGTTTCGACTTTTATTTTTCATACATAAAGATCACCCAGGCCTGTACTTTTAACATTCCTTAAGCACCCCCCCCCCCCCTTATAAGTTTTATTTTTCAAAAGAAAAAAGAGAAAACTCTTCATAAAAATTTGAGATATCAAAGAAATGTACGTATTTATCTGACTGAAAAATCAACTATGCACTATCTAAGGATAT